TTATGGGGTCTGGGGATGAGTCGAAAAGAATCAAACCCATAGAGTCTATAGCGTTCTGAGCACCGCCAAATGCTGCAAGAAAAGGCATCAGCTTCAGGAAACACAAGAATTTTATATATAAATATGCAATTTGAAAACACAAACGAAACATCGCATTTGATGATGCAAAAGGGGATCACCTGCAAACTGCAACTCAGGGAATCTCTTTTGGTGTTGGCACTGACTCTGACTGAGAGACTTCCAGGGCTTCCCCACTCGCAATCCCGGCCGTTGTTGCATCGCCCTGGCGATTGGGAATGGCTGTCTTCCTTCGCCAGTTTTGGCATACCCCCAGCACCAGCGATCGAACTCATCGAACTGAACAAAACATGATTGGGGCCTGCCAAGACTCTATGAGCTTTGTCATGATACTGTAGGCTATGCCAAAGGGACCGATGTTCTTTTCGGCTATCCATCCAAAACGTTGGCACATGGCTCAGATCATAATTACATAACACTGCGTCTAATTTTTGGGGTAACACGTGAGAGGTTGACCGTGTCATTTGCGTTTATTGCCTTCGATCTCTCATGCTAGCATCTCCCCGAAGCCACTCTCCTCCAACGAACACAAATTCCCCATGTCCGTCACTTGCATCTGCCTTTGGGGAAGAAGCAGCATCGTTTGCAAAGGCCTTCGAAGTGTTGTGCTGAGCCAACCTGAGGCAGCATCCCTGTTGTCCACTTTTAGAAACACCGAACGCTACAGGATATACAGTACTCTATATAGTCCCAGCGAGTGCAGGGGGTCTCTTCCTTCAACACTGACCCAGTGGAAACAGAATAATTAGGTGACACGTTGACGGGGTCTTGAAAGCAAGAGAAATCTCAGTCAGTCAGCTGGGTCATATCATGTAGAAAAGCTGCATCATCCTGGTGTCATCCTGTACTTGTAACTCCTCGCCAGCCTCTCCATGATTGGCCGCAGTATCTACTGTAATTAGGAGAGACCATCGCAAGGAACATCGGAGACGACATAGAAATAATGGCCGGGGATACTTGTGAACTTGGAACTTGCTGACATTTCAGCGTGGAATATGCCATCGGCTCATCAAATGAAGCTCCTCTATGATTCAAGGCTTGAAGGCAAGCAATCCTCTTCCCTAGAAAGTGAGGCATCTATCATGACAAGATAGGTAAGAACACAGTCCACACATTCTCATGATTTGACCGAATTCTCCATAGGACCATGTTGGAAAGGCCCGAGGGAGCATTTCATTGCAGTAGGTTGGAGGCCATCGCCAGTAGGTTGGAGGCCATCGCTATTGAGTTGGAGGCCATTGCTCTTAGGTTGGAGGCATTCATTACAGGATAATTCAGTTCGATTCCTCCGGCTCAACACATACGCATCGTGCTCCGGACGGAAGGCAGATCTGCAGGGAGACTCCTGGGAAAGGTGGCGGAGGATCGTGTTGATCCAAATGTACTTCCGACATACAAACAAAGCCCAAGTAACTGGGGATCATTTAGCTTCTCCACTCGAGTGAAACCATTCTTAAATAGGTCGGCTTAAGTTCGTTGGTCCTTATCAAGGTGCTCGTCCTTCAGTTTCTAAGATCTTATGAGCTGCCCCAGGCACCTGAAATGGATGCTTCCCCTGAGGACAAACATGGAACTTGAACAGCATCAACCATTCCATGTGGGTCTTTTCGGGATTTGTTCCTATCCCACTCCCGGCAACTGTTAGTAGGTATGACTTTCGCAAGGAAGAGTTGCGGTCCCCACTCCTACTAGGAGCCCCCGAAGTGAACCACATGGACTGGAACCCAACATAAAACACTCATGAGAGAGAGTCCAATCCATTCCAGATTTCCTCACTGCTGGTCCATTTCCCCTTGTTTTTCGGGCCGCGAATAGGAAGCGAAGGCTAACCAAAATATATTGATTGCTACAAATCCCCCAAACTGCAAACCTTTCCAAATGTGACTGGAACGCCTGGCCCTACAGTACGGGAGGTCGGCTCGTTGTCCCCTTCACTCTATCTTCAGTTCTTCGATGGTCCAATCACTTGGCTGGCCTTGCTGCTTCAGCAGTCACGGGCGTCGGCACGGAGATCGGCTCCATCGCCTCCCCCTCCACCTGGTGCAGTCGGTCAGGTAGATCAATGGGACCCCAACGGATGATATCCAGGGAGGTCCAAGGGTGCAGGATTTGGTCCATCGACACTAAGACACATCGCACTCAGGGAACAAAAACACCCTAACAATGGTGTTGTCCAACCATCCAACCACTATGGATGCTACACAACCAAACTGGTGTTTGTATCCAAGAAATACACAATTGAGAACCGAACAATAGATGTGCACATCCATCCATCATCCAGCATCCAACCATCCACATCCCTCAAACGTGTTGAATCATGTTGAATCCACATGCATGGCACTCTGCATCCTTCTCTGTACCAAATCCTTGATCCCCACTCCAGGTCCCTGATGGTTCCTTTTCCTAGATTCCTAACACGGTTCCTACTACGGTTCCTTCATGTTCCTTCTGACTCCAAGGCACCGAAGGCTCTGTCTCCGCGGGAACAGAATCCTTTTTCTGCTCAGCTTGGACGATGCTCTGCAGCGATGGGCCTCCGAGAATTGAGGTTGTAACGACTGTGACGGGCTACACGGGCTATGGCCTAAAACTGGGTGGAGTTACGGTGTATGGTGGAACCAGTACCAGTGAATCAGGGAAACTGCTCAGAAACTAGCACGCGATCTTCCTGAAACTCTGGAAAAAGCTTTACTGACGACAAGCTTTCGAGGTTTCCCACCGAAGCATCGAGGCTTCAATTGAGAGGTGACTCTCTGAAGGTGTTCTTTGAATGTACTTCTCAAATTATACACATAGGTCATCATAGGTCCATCCAGGCAGCTTAAACTTGGTTCGTTGACCTGCAAACCACCCAAACCTCAGAGTTTCCAAAATTCAATTAGGTCCTAACCCCTGTCACCGTTCGAACCGTCGTCATCTAATTTGGATCTACAAGCCCGACCCCACTCCTCTAACACATTCTTAGCTCTCCATCTTTAAAAGGCATGCTGTTTTTCTCTGGTCAATTCGCTCAGTCACTCACCGCAACCAACCTGGCCTATCCATGCGGGAGCTGTTGCAAGGGTCTTCTCATCTTCAACACCTCGGCCCAAAGGTTTCTTGCTTTTCGCTGTAGCTGCAAGCAAAAAACCAGGCAGCGGTTGCCTCTGGATGAGGCTCCAAACTGAACTACAGTATGTAAAATATGACACTCTGCGACTACTCTGAATCTACTGTTGGCATCACAAATCCCTGCACGTCCCAAAAGTAGCTCTGCTGGCTCCTCCATCAGCAGCCATCCCAATATTCCAATCAATCTGGTGAGTCTAGTGAAGATGCAAATCCTTGAAGATCCTTCATGAATCTGAAAAAATACACTCCGTCGTCGGGCCTGGCCTGGTCATATATAAAATGACGTTGGTCCCGTTCGTGAGGTTCACCATTAGTTTGCCTTTCAAATTGCCATTCACATGTTTGGTTGTTACCCCGTAGTAGGCTCGACCATCCCTCCCAGGCATAACATGGCCAAACCTCGCTTATCCCATTTTGGAGCCAGGCTTGGGGAGTCAAACTGGATGAAGGTATTGTGAACCGGGATGTCCTGAGGCGGAAAGGAAGTGACTCCTAGTTGTGCCGGACTGGTCTCTGTATGCGGCCGTGAGTTGACCTCTGGCAGTGGATGTATATAGTCATTCTGAGAGTCTCTCCCTAGTGTTCAAATCAGCTACGATCCCTTGTATTTCTCACCCCACTTCAACCAGCCAAGTCTGGACACAGAACCAACTGGCAAACCTGGCCCTCAAAGTACCCTTGAAATATGCACAAGTACGTGTTTCTTTGGAGGAACCTGGGTGAAGGCAAATAAATACCAACCCCAAGCTACGAGCTCTCTCTCTCTCTCTCTCTGTTTGATGACTTGTGTTGTCCTCATCTCTGAATTGAGTCGGGAGGGCACCGGGGCACGGTCCTCCTTTGAAAAGAAGGAGTCAGGAAGCGGAGATGGCCGTTCCTTCTTAGGCCTCAGTCGGCACCCAGGTGCAATTGTTGCTCTCCCGAGATTCTCGGATTCCTAGATTGCTGGCTGCATAGCTTTGACACCAATGGTTCCACTTGTTTTCAGACTCTGTCTAGAAATAAAACACTGGCTTCCCCCAAACCCTCTTCACACATTTACCACGAGGACTTTGGACCTAGCAACAAATGTAGGTCAGTCAGAAGCGCTGATGATGATCCAGTCTGATCATCTTTGAGTGTCCTGTATTCTGTTGACTGTGAACATAACCATCAATATTACAGCACACTCGCCATGCGGTGGTCCATGACTTTGTATGACGTCTGCATGTAGCCCGTTCAAACAACGCTGTAAAGGCGCAAACAGGCGCAAGGCAATTTTTTCATATTCATATGTTTATCGACAATGCCGACCCTTCACGTAAAAGACTTGCAAAACCTTGGTTATATAAGCCATCCATTAAAAATACGTTACCCCACAAAATCTCGCCACCCAGGAAGAACGTCATCCTGAGCTTGGTCAACCCTGGATCCAGAGGTTTTAGTAAAGCTGCGACCCTCCCAAAAATTCATCACTGTGGGAAGCTCGGTCAGAAAAAACATTTACTTGATCACTTCCGACCGTTCATTTGAAACCACAGTGCCCTCCTCTGTCCACCTCGCCCGTCAAAGGCTTCGGCATGTTGCCTGTGCAAAGATTGGAGTACAAGTGACCAGTGGGCAAAAGGGTCAAGGTCAATGCGAAATGGATCGAAATGGCTTGATTGATGGCTGTGGATGCAAGAAATTCTGCACCACGGAAGTACCAGGCGATGTGCCGCGGGATGCCTGAACTTTGTGTTGTCTTGCAGAAACGTTGATGATTCCTAGTGGAAATGATCTTATGAGAACAAGTTGATCCATCTGTGCTGCAGCACCTCTCCTCCATCTGCCAATCGAGAAATTGAAAACACTGCTACCTCAGGATTAGAGATTCACCCTGCCAAAAAATCCGCCGACCCCACACCGTGGGGTGAGGCGTGACTGTCGATGTTAGCCTTAGCCTTAAGCCTTAGCCTTAGCCTTATCCTTAGCCCTAGATCTAGTCCATAGCCTTAGACCTAGACCTTACCTCCCCTACCCCTCCGGACCCTTGTTGCAGTGACGAAATCCCGCCCTAAAAGCTACGGAATTGTCCAGGAAAGCTACCTGATTGCGACGTGGATTCTGCCATCCCAATTGATTTACATCTTGGGGCACCCTCTCGACCCGCGCGGGAAAATAAGCACGGTCCAAAATGGTCCTGGGCTCGAATCCCGGGCTGGTCGCGGCATGGTCCCGGCCAATGCCCTTGCTTTTTCGTAGATTTTTGTCACGTTTTCTGTTGGTTTATGAGATTTTCAAAGGCTTTTCTGGCATTTTCCTAGGAATGCTGTAGGCTTTGT